GTCCGGAAAGACGTGCAACGGTCCGGAAAAGCAAGCACCCAAAACGTACTCTAATCGTAGCGATTGCGGTCCGGAAAGGCATGCAGCGGTCCGGAAAAGCGAGCACTCAAAACGCACTCTAATTGTAGACATTGCGGCCCGGAAAGACATGCAGCGGTCCGGAAAAGCAAGCACCCAAAACGTACTCTAATTGTAGACATTGCGGCCCGGAAAGCCATGCAGCGGTCCGGAAAAGGAAAGACCTGCAGCGGTCCGGAAAAGCAAGCACCCAAAACGTACTCTAATTGTAGCCATTCTGGTCCGGAAAGACCTGCAGCGGTCCGGAAAAGCAAGCACCCAAAAAGTACTCTAATTGTAGATATTGTGGTCCGGAAAGACCTGCAGCGGTCCGGAAAAGCAAGCACCCAAAACGTACTCTAATTGTAGACATTACGGTCCGGAAAGACATGCAGCGGTCCGGAAAAGCAAGCACCCAAAACGTACTCTAATTGTAGCCATTGTGGTCCGGAAAGACCTGTAGCGGTCCGGAAAAGCAAGCACCCGAAAAGTACTCTAATTGTAGATATCGCGGTCCGGAAAGACGTGCAGCGGTCCGGAAGAGCAAGCACCTAAGACATTACGGTCCGGAAAGACATGCAGCGGTCGGGAAAAGAGGATAGCACGAGACAGAGATGGAGACAAACAGAAGGCGAGAGAGAGAGAGAGAGACAGAGAGACAGAGAGAGGAAGAGGGAGAGGAGAGAGAGAGCGTTGTAAATGGTGAGCAGCGGGTGGTTTCAGAGTACGTTTTGCGTGCTTGCTTTTCCGGACCGCTGCACGTCTTTCCGGACCGCAATATCTACAATTAGAGTACTTTTTGGGTGCTTGCTTTTCCGGACCGCTGCAAGTCTTTCCGGACCACAATGGCTACAATTAGAGTACGTTTTGGGTGCTTGCTTTTCCGGACCGCTGCATGTCTTTCGGACCGTAATGTCTACAATACGAGTACGTTTTGGGTGCTTGCTTTTCCGGGCCGCTGCACGTCTTTCGGACCGTAATGTCTACAATTAGAGTACGTTTTGGGTGCTTGCTTTCCGGACCGCTGCAGGTCTTTCCGGACCACAATGGCTACAATTAGAATACGTTTTGGGTGCTTGCTTTTCCGGACCGCTGCAGGTCTTTCCGGACCGCGATATCTACAATTAGAGTACGTTTTGGGTGCTTGCTTTTCCGGACCGCTGCATGTCTTTCCGGGCCGCAATGTCTACAATTAGTACGTTTTGGGTGCTTGCTTTTCCGGACCGCTGCATGTCTTTCCGGGCCGCAATGTCTACAATTAGAGTACGTTTTGAGTGCTTGCTTTTCCGGACCGCTGCTCATCTTTCCGGACCGCAATGTCTACAATTAGAGTGCGTTTTGGGTGCTCGCTTTTCCGGACCGCTGCATGCCTTTCCGGACCGCAATCGCTACGATTAGAGTACGTTTTGGGTGCTTGCTTTTCCGGACCGTTGCACGTCTTTCCGGACCGCATGTGTTTCAAGTACAATCTGTTTTGAGTCCCTTCTTTTGGATGTCTTAAGAACTAGGTAGCCCCATAACCGGCCCCAAAAGAGGTCTGAAACCAGTTCGACACATCTTCCTGCTCACCGTCTCAAGACTTCTTCTTTCTCTCTGTCTCTTTCTCCCTTCTCTTCTTTCTTTTCCCGTTCTTTCCTGTTTTTTCTCCAAAGCTGAGGTAGCCTACGGACAAAAAGAGGTCTGAAACCACTCTGAAACACCCCGCTGCTCACCATTTACAACGCTCTCTCTCTCCTCTCCCTCTTCCTCTCTCTGTCTCTCTCTCTCTCTCTCTCTCGCCTTCTGTTTGTCTCCATCTTCCATCTTCCTCTCTCCCTCTCTCTCTCTCTCTTCTCTCTCTCTCTCCTCTTCCTCTCTCTGTCTCTCTCTCTCTCTCTCTCTCTTTCTCTACCTTTTCTCTTTCTTTTTTCATCTCCCAAAGCTGGGGGTACCCAAAAAACAAGCCCAAAAGAGGTCTGAAACCACTCTGAAACACCTTCCTGCTCACCATCTCCGGACTGCTGCTGCATGTCTTCCGGACCGCGTTGGCTGCTTTATCTCTATCTATCTATCTATCTATATCTATCTATCTATCTGCTCCTTTTTCTTTGGATGGCCTATTTACCACCCTGGTTATCTATGTTTATCAACTCGAGATATTGATATTTAAGATCTAAATCAGATACGGTAGTAGTAGTAGTAGTAGTAGTAGTAGTAGTAGTAGTAGTAGTAGTAGTAGTACTAGTACTAGTACTAGTACTAGTACTAGTACTAGTACTAGTACTAGTAGTAGTACTAGTAGTAGTAGTAGTAGTAGTGGTGGTAGTAGTAGTAGTAGTAATTGTAGTAGTAGTGGTAGCTAGTGGTGGTAGTAGTAGTAGTAGCAGTAGTAGTAGTAGTGGTAGTAGTAGGGGTAGTAGTGGTAGTAGTGGTAGCAGTAGTAGTAGTAGTAGTAGTAGTGGTAGTGGTAGTGGTAGTGGTAGTGGTAGTGGTAGTGGTAGTGGTAGTGGTAGTGGTAGTGGTAGTAGTAGTAGTAGAAGTAGTAGTAGTAGTAGAAGTAGTAGTAGTAGTTGTAGTTGTAGTAGTTGTAGTAGTAATAGTAGTGGTAATGTTGTAGTAGTAGTAGTAGTAGTAGTAGTAGTGGTAGTAGTAGTAGTGGTAGTAGTAGTAGTAGTAGTCGTCGTCGTAGTAGTAGTAGTAATCAAAATGTTAATTAAAATAGTACTTGTAATAATGATAACAATAGTACTTGCGCGTAGCTTGGGCCGCCCTTGCGCGAAACTTGCGCGATGCAGGTTTTAGACCATGGGAAAAATGCGAGAATAGGTCCTTTACTAAAAACCTTTCTGGGTTTTTTGGACGGCTCCCACATGGTAATACATCTAGGGTGGGCAATTTTTAACTTCACACAAGCTCTGCTCTAGAACTAACCGACTTTTTATGACTGCACAAGCCTCGAAAAAAAAACGGTGCTGAGCTCAGAAAGCCAAAGAACTTGTGACTTGAACATGTTTATCTATCTGACACAGATCGTTGCGATCGATTTTGAAGTTTTGCATGTTAGGCACGGGAGCGGCAGCAGAGTGTTTGCAATCAATTGCAAAGGACTCCTTGTCCCAATGCTTGAAGTACACATCAACATAAATGAGCATGTATACGTCCATGTCCTGTGATTAACACATAGACCAACATCCAAAGATATCAATTTGAAAGCACCTGGAACAATAACGACAATAACATACAACTAAAAAAACACACTCTTGAGATGTCTTGAGTTGTGGGAGGGGAAATTGCTGTGGTCATGGGAGTGATTAAGGTATCTGGGAAACTTTGCCACCCGGCATTTTCGATTCCAATCCCAACCCTGGAGTCACAATATTCCATGTATTATCACTACATTCAAACTATTCATTGCAGGAAAGTAACGCCCTTCTGCAATTTTAAGTGCGGATTCACATTTCACGTCATGTTTAAAAAACATTACAGGTGACTGACATATACAATGTCCATTATCATTGACACGAATCTCACCGACTCAACCATCAGTGACTCGCTGTTGGCAAAGCTTGGATCCCGGACCACATCCAAGACGCACTCCCGTGGTATTTCCCATGGCCGATTCACTCGGGCCTTGGAGGTGTAACCGACAAGTTGGAGACAAGTTGGAGACCGTAAGCACCCATAAAGCACCTGGGTTTAGGATTTCTTTTGGGGCCACTTTAGATAGACAAAATATGACAAAATCATCTTTTAGATGTTCCTGTAAAGTCGGAAAACTTGATCACAAGTCAACTCATGAACTGTTGGGGAATTACCTGCGAGCAATTCGGGCGTGGATTCTACTGGGTTGAATTGGAGAGGTTCGTCCAGCTATAGGATGGCAGTTTCACCAAATATCTCCAAATACTCTATTACACCAGGCATCATTTGCGCTCATTTTCCAGTTGACTGTCCAACAAAAATTGCCTGGCCACCTAACTGACAGGTAACTGGCAGGTTGGCGTCCAAAATATGTCTTTGCCTAGAAATAAGTTAAATTTGCACACTCTAATATGAGTATCTAAATAATCTTCAATCTTATTTGGGTCTAGAATGGTATAGAGGTCGGAATTTCGACCCCAAACAGCCCTGACTACCTGGGTTCATCCACCGTCTGGGGCTTCACACTTTGGCTCTTTCACCACGCGTGGTGACTTGAAAATGGTGCTGCAGGGCTGGACAGATGTGGTGATCCAACTATATAACCTCTGTGATGCGCAATCTGCACCAACCAACAAGTTGCAAAAGATGCGAATGTGTCTTCGCCAAACTGAGGATTCAAGAAAAACGATGGGAGATGAATTGAGAACCACTGCAGTTGCTCTTCACCTCGATTCCAACGCAAAGTGAGACCGATGATGGGTCACAAATCCAGTTGATATTGCATTATGCAAATCATGGTTGTGAAGATATCTGAAACCCAATGCCAGTCACATCCACAACATCTTGAATTTGGATGCGGCAATGTCTGTTTTGAGACCTTCCCTGTCCAGTCTGGGTGTCTCAGAATTGTGCACACTGGACAGGGTGCTAAAGTGTGTGTGAAAAAGCCAGTTTGACACTCCAAAAACAAAGATCTGGATGAATTTCATCACTATTCACTAGCCTGACAAGTTGGGCTATTGGAATAGTTACCCGTTACCCCAATCCAATTCCCATCATTCAGGTCGTCATTACGTCGCTGAACTCGTTGCCCCTTTTTTTGCTGCAGAAAGGTGAGCAGATCTGGGTCAATCACCGGCACCAAGGCCTGGCAGGGAGGTCCAGTGTTCCAGGAAAGGGGGTATACCACAAAAAATCAAATTAAATATGGGGAAAATCGACCTTTTTTTGGGGGGGCGCTGCCTGGGCTTTTGTATTTTATTGTTTGCTTACACCACTCCTATGCACAGACTAGGCCATCGTTATGACACCATACGCAGACATAATGACCTCTCATGTCCAAAACAAACACCGCTCTTTTTTTTAGTCAGAAATGAGGTATACTGCGGTATAGTTCAAACCTTCCATTTCAATGGGGAAAAGTAATGATACATCATGAACCTTCATGAACTCATTTCAAGATCCAATCCTAGCAGTGCTCAAGCGCTCCATTTTTGCTGAATCTATGGTGAGACGTATGAGTTCTACATGGCGGATTCCACGATCAGAAATCCGCTATTGCAGCCTGCAAGGATCCAAAGGGTGCTGGGATCTCAAGGGCGGCCATTGGAAACACAGTTTGCAAAAGGCTGCAAGAAACGAGTTAAACATACGGTAACTACATTTAAATATACGAAATTATACGAACTGGTATTTCATACTACCTCCGGGGCCTCGCGGTCTGGCCCGCCCTCCACATATTTAAATGTCGTTACCGTATTCAAAAAGTAGCGTGGTTGTCTCCAAAAAAATGCCAACTGAAAAATGATTCATGTCTTGGAGATCTATTTTTTGTAAGAAACCATGAAATCAAGTTGCCTTTCTTTGCAACCGGAAGCTGCCGTTGAGAAAACTTGAACAGCAATGCATTTTTCTGTGCGCATCAAAAACGTGGCATTTTTGTATTGGGCACATTCCTTATCGCTAATGCCAAATGGGACCATGTTTCCAGTCTTGCTGATGTTTCTCAGTACTCACGTGCCATGTTTGGATGACATTCCTGAATTATCATCCTGCTGTTGCGCTGATTTGCCGCCAAGGCACGCATCGGTCACCCGATCTGGTCCACCTGTCAACTCTCGATCCAAAGAACTTCTCCTGAAATAACTACCGCAGAATCAGAATACCGGAGAGTTGAGAACATCTTCATAATCTGCTACTAAAATGGGATGGAATGGTGATATACCTGGGAAAAAAATGGAAAAATGGGGGTTTCAGGGCGTATATGTTTGTATGTTGCTTGTTATGATTTTGTGTTGGGGTTCAATGTTTCATCTTCGCCTTTGATGTTTTTTCAGGTGGGGTTTTGGGGGTAATTTTGTTGCTAAAGTGATGTGTCAATGTTTGGATTGAATGGGGGTAGGATTTGTTTAGGCTGTTGGGGTTTTTGTTTGTGTTTGGGTGGGTGATTACTTCATAATATGTGTTGTTAAGATATTATGAATTAATCATTTATGCTTTCCACTTTCCTATTCCATCCCACCAGTGTTCAATCACTCTCATTTGTGTTAAGCAGGGTTTGTTTGTATCATTCAGTTCATCCATCGCTATTGATAAAAGAGTTATGTTAATAATCATTGCGTTGAATTCACCATCACGGTTGAGTTCCTTTCCACAATCAATGATGTTTTTTTTTATCAGTCAGGTTTTCATACATCTTTTTCATAATGTCAAAATTTACAAACATATATATCGTCATATCCTTTACCCCTTCCCCTGATTTCATCCTATCAATTACTTTCTTCCAAAACTTTTCTCCTTCCTCATCATCTGGTGAAGGCATAGGATGGCACTTTACAAAGTCTCTAATCTCTTCATCTTCTTTTTCTATTTGTTTTCTTTCCCAATCATCGTCCCCACTATCACTACCAAAGTCAGCATATATACCAATATTCCCTGTATCTATAACCTCAATTTTTGCTCTACTCATTTTCTCTTACTATATATAGATATTTTTTCTTTAAGTATTTATCACTTTTTGTAGGTGCTCTTTTATTTCTTCTATGTTCAAATATTTATCATAACCGTTGAACAGTTCTTCAACATATTCACGCAAAAAAAAATCCAAAATGTCTTTTATCTTGAACTCCCTGTTTCTAAACATAAAAGTTCGTTCAACATTAGGAAACCACCAGCATCTTCGTTGCTTACTGTAATTGATGAAATTAAGGTCGTGAAAGTTCTTTAGAATATGATAAGTGTATTTCCAATGGTTTTTGACATAAGACTTAATCGCTTGAAGATATATCTTATCTTTTTGAAATTCTACCTTCAGTTTATAGGTGTCCATTAAAGCGTCTATTTCTCTCTTCATTACTCTTACATTTGTTCGGTCGGTGTTGGATAAATAGATAGGTGATTTTTCCATCCTTGTTTTAAAGAAATGTATTTGTTTTTCAACTCTTGTTAGTTCTTTCTCTTCAAAATGGTCAAAATGATAGTTGAATGTTATATATCTGCGTTCCTTATCATTCAACTCTTTACATTTTGAACAGTGAAGGTTGTAATCACATATCTCATCACAAATTCCAGCAGGAAAAATGTTTCAATAAAACCTTAATGTCAGTCATTTCTTTTTTACAACATCCACAGTTTTTATAGGTAAATAGCATCCTCTTACTATATATAGGTAATTTTTCTTTAAGTAGTTTTTGGGGGGCTCGTTCAGTTTTCGGGCTCGGGTTGGTTTTTATTTTCCCTTTCCTCCTCTTCCAGTTCTCTTATGACCATATCTATTTCACTCATTCCTTCGTTGGGGTCTTGTCCATTGGCGATGTTTCTTAACCTCTCAAAATCCTTCACTTTATGTCTTTCATTGGGTGGGAGGGTTTTGAGATGTTCCTTCAACTCTGTCAGGTCAAAGTATGTGTCTTCCTCCTCATCCTCATTTTCCAAAAACATTTCCATTCTTTGCTTTTCCATTTCCATAAGTTTGTTTTCCATATATTGGAATTTCATTTGCTTCTTGTAGCACTTGCCACACACATTCACGAAGGTTTTGAGCAAGTAGTTCCAATTAGGTTGGTTTCTATCGTTCAGGGTTATAACATCTGTCATTATACGACATCCACAGTCAAATTTAGTCATCTTATTTAGTCTTACTATATATAGGTATTTTTTCTTTAAGTATATTTTTTATTGTTGATAATTTTAAAAATCTAATATTATAATATATGGCAAGGAGACTATCAAGAGATGACATCATAAGCAATGTCTATTATAATCTTGAAACGGGCTTCGGTTCAATCAATGAGACCCTTAAGAAAGCCAAGGAGCAAGACCAGACCATCAACAGGGTGGATGTGGAAAACTTTATGAGGAAACAGCCCAACAAACAGATTAGAAAATACAGGGGGTCAAACTCCTACACCGCACCCTTCGCAAGGTTTGAATATCAGATTGACATAATGGATATGAAACCCCTTACCAAAGAACCAGAGACGAAAATTCCCATCAAGAACGATGAACCGAGATATGGGTTGGTGGTCATTGACATCTTCAGCAAGTTGGCAAACGTCGTCCCTATGAAAGAAAAATCCGGACCAATCACATTGTCGGCGATGAAAGAGAGTTTCAACAAAATGGGTTTTCCAATGTCCGTTTATAGTGATAATGACCGTGCCTTCCAAGCAGGGGTAAAAGAGTTCTTTGAGAAAGAAGGCATCACTCACGTCGTCACCCTAACTCACGCCAATGTTGTGGAGCGTTTCATAAGGACAATGAAGAATATGATACACGACAGGGTGAGGTTTAATCGCGGTAGTTGGACTGTAATGTTGTCCAAAGCGTTAGATAAATACAACGACACCGTCCATTCATCCACCAAAATGAAACCCAAGGATGCCCACGACGACAAGAACCATATGGACGTCAGGGTGAATTTGACAAGGAGGGAAAAGAACACTCGCAAATATCCAGAGGTCAAAGTGAATGATATGGTCAAGGTCTTTGAGAAGAAAAAAGACAACTACACCGAGAGGAAGGAGTATAACTCAAAATGGAGCAATCAATCCTACAAAATTGTCAAGATAGAATACGATGATGTCGGAAACAGAACCTTCAAACTGGAAGGATTGAACAAACCGTATTTGAGGCACGAGATTTTGAAAGTATAAAAAATTATCTATAATATTAATATATGACAGAGGTAGTCGTAAAAGAGATTGATAATGAAGAACCCAAGGAAGAAACAATACCAGAACCAATACAGGAAGAAGCACGGCAAAGCCCTGCTTCCTATCGGGAAGCACCGAAAGAAGAGGAGAAACCAGAAGAAACAATTGAACCACCCGTTGAAAAGAAACCGCAACCAGCGCCAAAGCCCAAAAGGGTAAGACCGTCAAGGGCGAAACCACCTTTTGACCCAGAAGCATTCAAAAACGACCTTGTAAAGCAACTGAAGGAAGAACTACAGAGTGCAATGACCGCCAGAGACACCTACAACAAAGCCAAAGAGGAAAAGAACAAAGCGACGAGAGAGAAATTGAAATCTTTAGCATCAAAATTTTTATAAAGTATTATATATAAAAATGAACATCAAGGAACAGAAAACGGAACTCAACAAAACTGACATCTACGAAAACGTCCGCAAGGACATCAACAGAAGACAAACCGTCCATTCAAACAAAAGTGCCAACTACAGGAGCGGAACGCCCGAAATGCCAGACAGAAGAAAAAAAGTGTATAGTAGTTATGACCACTACTACCACAACGACAGCAACACGGCAAGGATGCCAACTCACAACCATCATCTTTACCTAAAGCGTCTTCTTGAATATCACAACACCGAGCACGACTACAAGGTCTTACAAGTAAAGCAGAGGATGAAGGAAGAGAATGAGATGCTACAGAACGAAATGACAAGGTTGAGGGAGGTGAGGAAAAATCACAGATTGGAAGATTACGGGGCGAACGTCCAGAATATGAAACAGAGAATTGATGAGTATAAGCAGTGGTTGAGAGGCGATACACAAGATTAATATAAAAATCTAAAGTATTAATATATAGCAATGACAGCAGAAGTAATCAACGCAAAACAGGGATTGACACGAATACCCACTTACGCAGAACTCATCAAGGAAATAGACAGGGAAAAGTTCAAAACCAATGACATCAGAAAAATCTTTGATAGGAACGCTTGGTATTTTCACGAAAGTCCGCAGGGTCAAGCACTGAACACAAACAACATCCACCCAGCAGACTTACAGCAAATGAACTTCAAAAAGATGGCAGAGGAAGCGACCGCAAGGAAGGAAGAAGAAACACCCAACCTTGACTTTGAAGATATGACCGACTTGAGGGACGACGCCATCAGCGACTTTGAGATGTCCTTTGACAGAGAGGCAGAGTTGAGGGAAGAGAACGAAAGGAGAGTAGCAGAACAAGCAAATTTAAGTCATTCACAAGACCACTATATGGCAAACAAAGGGGCATACGACGCCGTCGGAGCAACAGCATCGGCAGGGATACAAGAAGACGAAGAACCACCTTCAAGCAGTAGAAGCATCTTAAAGAACTTCCTTAAATCATCCAAACCAGTCATCAAAGCAGTCGCCACAGCAGGAGGAACAGCAAAGGGAGGGTCAATAGGAGGACTAATAGCATCAAAACTGACAGACGCCATCATACCCGACGAAGACGAGGAAGAGAAACCGTCCAAGATAAAACCAACACAAAAACTAATCAACAAACAAGTCAAAAAGGTAAATCACCAAAAGAAGTTAAAGGAGGAAAAATCAAAGATGAACGTAGATGTAGTGCCCAACACCGCAGAAGCAATGGATACAACAGCAATACCAACAGCAGAAAAGAGGAAACCCTTAAGCGTGAGACAGTCCAAAGCAAAGAGACAGAAACCAAAACCGCCAACGCAGGAGAAGAGAGAATTTCAGGAAGACCCATCCACAACCACCAAACCGCCCAAAGCAAGAAGAGTAAGAGGAAAGCAACCCCAACCACAAGCATTAGGAGCAACAATCAACATCCACAAAGACAACAAGACACCCAATGTAGATGAAGCAGAAACAGCACAGGAAGAAACAGGGGCGTCATCTTCATCAAAAGCACCAGTCAGGAAACCAACAATGAACAAAGCAATA